TAGAGGTGCTGCAATGAATTTGTTGAGGATATGGACCATGTATGTGTGTGTGTCCAGGTGATGGAGGTGTACCGACCCAGTGCAGTGGTGTTGCAGTGTGGAGCTGACTCACTGGCTGGAGACCGCCTCGGATGTTTCAACCTCTCTCTTAAAGGTTGCTCTACAGTACACTGCATGTGTCAACTACGAGAGGCAAAGGCACAACAAAATACACGTCAACTACACCCAGGATTGAGGAACAGCAATGTGCAAAAGACTTTTCTCCGAAACTCTACTGAATCACAGAATCACATACATACACACATACATACATATATGTCTCTCCCTCTACTGAATTACATACATAATTATGTCTTTCTCTATTTCACAGTAATCTGTCTCCCCTCTCTCCACAGGTCATGCTGAGTGTGTGGACTTCATCCGTCGCTACAACCTCCCTCTCCTGCTCCTCGGAGGAGGCGGCTACACCATCAGGAACGTGGCCCGCTGCTGGACCTACGAGACTGCCGTCGCTCTCAACTGTGACATCGCCAATGGTACTCGCCATTCAGTACACGTCTAAAAAGCAGTACCTACCCTCTGCACTTTGTACACATGCTCTATGCTAACGTTTTGGCTGCAGGGTTTATTACAACTGCTTTGTTTTTTTTAACCCTTAGCAAGCCACGGACGTATGTGTATAAGTCCTTAGCCTCCATAAGTCAATGAGAATTTATATATGGCTATAATACTAGGCGTTAATAGTTATACATCAATTTCAGCTTTTTTAAAGAGATACCCGTGGCATCCAAAGGGTTTTAATGGTGGTGTCCATCACATTGTGATCACACATTTTCCTACTACATGTGTGTATGTGTCTCTCTCCCCACTCTTATTGATTTATTCCCTCTCCCCCTCTCTTTATCTCTTTCTCCTTCTTGTCTTCTATCTCTCCTTCCCCTCTCCCCTCCTGCACCCAGAACTTCCCTACAACGACTACTTCGAGTACTATGGACCGGACTTCAAACTCCACATCAGTCCCACCAACATGACCAATCAGAACACACCTGAATACCTCAACAAGATCAAGTACGTAATATGTCTGTGGACTGAAGATAGCGCTAAACAAAGTACAAACAAAATGGCCCAGTGAAAGATTTCCATTTGTAGTAACAGTATTATTGTAGGTTTAGCCGTTAAATACTGCCACATTCCCTAACTAACCAACTACATACAATGTACGTTTTCTCAGAGTTACATATTCTATGACGTCTCTCTCTAGAGCTCGACTGTTTGAGAACCTGAGACTC